ACAAACTCTTTTCCCCATCTTCAACAAACTTTCGTATTATGAATTTCGCAAGTGCTTGGATATTCTCAGGCCCGTTCTCATACACCCAGTCGTCTATGCAACTAAGCGAAACAATTCTTTAATCATTTTAATAGTTAAGTAGGATAAAGTCAAACAAGCCAGTCAAACCTATGTAACCTACTGCAGTGTAATTGATAGGCCCAATATCGGACAAACAGGAAGAAAATTTCCACACGAATCACAAGAATGCTAAAAGAAAGTATGACCCATATTCATGAGTCTCTATACACGAGGATCAAGCAGTTCATCAGTTTGACCTGAAAACACAGAGATTCTAGCACTTGGGAATACGGAACAGGCAAGAGAATTCCCAGAACTTTGGAACTCCACGAACAATTGGATCAATGGACACATTGAATTGCACGCCGTCTATGCAAATCTATGATCAAAAAACCACTACCGCAGTCAAATACCCCTAATTGAAAAAGACACCATACGAACAGCTCAGACAACATTTTCAGCCACGGAGACAAACGGGCCATAGTCACGATGCATTGGTCAAAGAGGCTATTTCGAAGGTCACCTACCCAAAAGGACCAATGACGAGAACCTACAAAAACGGACGCGCGTGACCACCCGCCGCGCTGCACATTAACATACGATGTCACCTTGACTGGTGTCGAAACGCTTGCAGCAACATTGCCAAGCTTAGCGGACGGTGTATGTAGCAAATGAGCAGCCTTTAGCACCAACATTTACTTCAATATCAACGTAGACATTGTCCTTTATGACGATGGTGATGTCGCTTCAACACTCTAACGAAGATTAGTAAAACCCAGGTGGAATTTTGACTACTTGATTTGGGATCCTATTTTCAATTCGACGAGTGTGCACAGCTACTTAAATAACTGAACAAATTCCTGCCAATAGACAGCGTAGGATTTTATTCTTGAAGTTTGGAAATGGGAAATATCGTCTAAAACGAGTGCCGGTTAGTCCTGATCTGTTCATGCTGCTTAGTAGCTTTGCATACTGCCAAATTTTAACACATGACCCACGCACTCCAGGTAGGTCACCTTTGAAGCAAGTCAACGCTTACTAATCCGAGTCGGCTGAACGCAATTTTTAAAATTTCGTCAATGGTGACACTGTAAGGTAGCGGCGGGCATCTCTGTCTCATACTGCAAGAAAAACTGATTGCTGCGACTTCGTCGTAAGCCAATACTGATCATAATACGTGTGTAAACCGCCCTACTAACAATGACGTACTTCTTCGGTACACATTCCCTAAGTAAACAGCTCCAAAGGACACATCGATCCACCAGTTCGCTAATGTGCGTGGCGGCGCTCGGATAACAGACGGTCAATACAGCTGATTTGGGTGAAACCCGATTTATTCTTTGTGAATCACCGGTGCCAGTCAGAGCATAAACAGAGACAGAGGCAAGGGGAATCAGACTGACCAATCTATAACTGTCGCAATCCGAAGTGAGCCTCCATGCAAATCGATTGGGACAGTTTCTTTTTCTCCCAGATGCCTGAATAAATGTTGTTAAACATCAGCAAGGACAGGTCAGCCAAGGGTTGGAGTAAGTTGATCAAACCCTGCGACCTCATTCGATTGGAGCAATCCGATACCCTGTTCGATTTCCGCGAGACAGGGTGGGTCCAATGAGACGGCCCATGGTGCAAAGCGGTCATTGATCAGCAAGAAACCTGGCAGTTCTGATTGTTTAAATACATTTTAGGCCACGCGTCTTGTCCAGTTGTGGATGGACTATACACTCACTCAACCTCTGCTGATCGTTAAGGAAATGATAGCGAATAAATTGCGAGTTGCCCAGAGCAGCTACCGCCTCCACCTCTGATTCATCATGAAACCACCAGGCCTCCCGATGCCAAATCTACTAGTATAAACAGCTTTGATTGGCGCAAGGTATCATTAAGTCACTGGGACAATGAATTTTCAGTTATTTCATGCATCCATACATAAACGGTACTCCAATTCAATCATTTCAGTAACACAAGATAACAGCACGTACTTTGTGCTCGATCTATCACACTGGCACTCTAAACATTTTCCTTTAGGTTTTCAATTCAACTGGGATTACGTTGGTACATCACCCGAAGCGTATGCTCGGTTCACTCAGAATGCAAAAATTATCGCCATCAGCAAAACAGACGAGTGTACGAAAGACCAAATTCAACAAGTTGAGTCACTCAATCGAGCCGTTTCCCAACGGAAAATGACTGACTAGGACTCAAATTGTTACTAGATTTCGCCGTCTGAAGTCGATGCTGGGCTTAATGAAAGTTTGCAGCACGGTCTACCTGGTATCAGGTAACACAATGAACACTTGCTCCAATTTCCTTTCGTCGATGCAAACCACGTGGTGCGCCGTGCCAAATGGCCACCGATTGCCTTAGTAACAAACAAATCGGAGAACACTCGATCGCACACCACAACAAGTGCTATTGCATCTAGCAATAGTTTGGCCGAACCGCCTGCTTAACTTGCTGAGAAAGTGAATCTATATAGCAAACTTGGCATATAACCTTCGCATACATACTCTAAGCTCCAGATCTTCAATGAGTAACAGAGCACCACTCGGTCCAGTCCGCGGAAAAGGAGCGGTGGGAAGGTGTGTCGCCGGTTGATCCGTGTTCACCTCTTAATTACTTGTACATCTCGAAGTAACATAAATGTTCGTTTTCATGGCCGCAAATGCTGTGCTAGATAGCATTTAGGCCAACAAAGTAAACGTATTGTAACATAGATAGCACTTACGAACCGAATCAGTTTCATCACTGCTAAGGGTGTTTAGGAAGGAATCGACCGTTTTGTCTTATCATTTCATCTACACCTTGCGTGGCGCAATTCAGTGGGTTCAGGATGTGGGCCATGAGGAAGCAAGAACCCGATTGGTTCCTATAATTAGCCGTAATGAGTCACCGCATGGCGTCATGACGGTGAATCTAGATGTCGAGTGCAGATAACGTTTCGTCCGTACCATGACCAATAACATCTTGGCACGATAGTTTTGCGCGGTATCCGATGTTGCTCTCAACAATACCTTGATGTGAATTCTTGGAACCCCCGTTCATGCCGTTGTCACGCAATGAGGATACTCGGGAAGCTAATGTACAAGTACGCTGGCTGGCTTGCCGAACAACCTCCTCGTGGTGCCAGCTGGGTGGTTCGGGATTTTCCCGTTCCAGCAAATGGTTCGGCGGCAGTGTTCCAGGACGTGGTGGGTTTTCGCCTGGCAAGCGTTCTCCCTATAAAAAGCCACATATGTCCGTTTAACAACACTGTGACGTGGCGGACGTGACTCGCCACTAAATAAAGTCACTGCCCCTTGCTTCATCCTGGCGAAGCATTGTATTCCAGCAATCTTATGCTGTACTTCTAGGGAGCATTGGGCCCCTGTTTGACAAAGGAACAAACGAAAGGCGTATGAACTGAGCAATCAGTCACCGGCTCCCAATGGGCGCGATTCCCTGAATTCGCTCCGCTGCCTTGCGGGCAGGCTATTAAGCCAAAGGCTCGGGGTGGTGTCCCCTAAGTCAACACCCTACTTCGGCTTGGGCAACCGGGTAGTATCTCGCCCTCTGAGGAAACCATGGACATCGTTGTGTTGTGTTTTATTTTACTGTTTCTGTACCTTCGTTTGAATCCCGTGGTTTCTGATGGCATTATGTCTGTTAACAGACTTTTGCAAATATATATATATATACGCTGGAAAAACGACTGAGCAGAGAGAAGCAGCGGTTCGGCATCAGCTATTGCGACAGTAAACGGCTTGATTAGAAGGGCTGCATATTTGGGTAAGATATAGTACAAATGCATTTCCCGTTGACTAGTATGGAGCTGCTCATCGATGGAGTCGGGAATCCCTATTCGAACGCGGCGTCCCATGGGGAAACCAGTGCACTTTGCATCTTGGCATGTACTTCCTAACATGTGGTTAGCAATGCTAATAATCAGCAATCTTGTATCGGACGTTATTAGTGGGCTGTGGAGCGCTGCTATGGAGCTTTGGCCTAGTGGCGAAGACGAAATCCGGGCTCCCCTCTCAGCCCAAGCTACTTCTAGCTGACGAGTCGAAATTAGGACGAAATCGGTCGGTCGTGGAGTACAAGGTTGGGAGAGAGCAAATTCGAAACTTTTTATTCCATACGACGTCTTGTCAACAGCATGCCACTATATATTCACCGAGCACATCATGACTTGAGGCGGCAGACTTCCTGACAATTCATGCGTAGGCTTGGACTCGAGAGTCCGCTTTACAACACCGAGATAATCAGCGTAATGGGGGTAATAGACTGAAATGTCCCAGCGGAAACCAGATGAATCCATGCAAACAAAAACAGTAATCTTAGGAGAGAGGACATGGGTCCTTTAATTGAGTGAAATAGCACAACCGTTACAATGATCTAACGCAGGTGAGGTTAGATGCGCTTAAGCCACATCGCCCCGGAACCTTGGGAGCTTAGACAAAATAACTGCAACCTCGTACTTCAGCAACTATAACCCTAGCTCAGCTGGCTGCACTGCGTAGTGGCATGCAAAGTTTGTATACCTGGGTGCACTGGATGCCCAAAAAGGCAACTTAGTATAGCTCAGATGGTCCTAGAGGTACATGTAGATCCAGTCCCTTTGACGACGCTTGGCCTTAAAAGGACCACAAGCCTGCCTTGTAATCCGGGGGCGCGGGTTCGAGCTTGTGTAGGGACAGGGCGATCCTGGCAGTATCCTTAACCCACGAGTGACTGGTGGCCGTTGCGTGGCAGCGAAGTGTCTGTACTGCGTACCGGCGTACTGCTAATGTCCTTTTCGCGGCTGTTCGATCACGGACTAACGTAGCAATCTAGGAGCAAAATCTGTTCGCACCCTAAGATAGTAGGAAGCAGTCGTGATGTGTTGGAGGCTCTCAGGTTCCTTTAAAGCCAAAATGTTCAGTGGCATCAACCGAAGTCCGAAATAAAGCACATGTGAAAAAGTGGTGAGTCTGGAAATAAGGTATTCGAGATGACACCTTATGGGTCGATGCAACTGATTCCGGTGCACTGTATCACAGCTATTGGCTCAAAATACGAAATAACATAATTCGATTGAGTTTACGATAGGCGGTAATAAGTGGTGCTCGGGAAACGGATAGGCATATTCCTACTTCCATTGGCAAAGTAAATTAATGTACCATAATCATACAGAAACATGTGATTGGTAAAGCGTAGATACAGGTGAAAAGAGTACACAAACAATAGGGGTTAGTTTCTTTGCCGTCTGCTTCGAAGCGATCGCGTCGAACAAATAGAGGCTTCGGAGAATGCTTCGGATTGTTCGGCTCGATTCGTTCGTCTCGTTCCTCTTTTCTTAACAAGACATTCCGCCAATTGGTTACGAATCGAACATATCTTGTCACTCGCTTTTTCGCGCACACTTTTGATTATTTGCTCATTATGCCAGTGAAGGAAATTTGCGAACCGGATAATATCCATCTGCAACCCTTCCCTGGCCGACATTTGTTCGTATGACTTGGAAAAGAGGAATGGGCACTCAGGCGAATGACGTCTGTGTTCGGCCGCCGGATCATCCTGAAAAGGAAGCAAAATGTTGAACATGCTCGGAATGCTCGATGAAGCTGACAGTACATGTAGTTAGAATTGAATACAAAACCAACTGTATCATCCACTGTCATCAGCAGCCAAAACTGAAAGCATGGTGTATCAAATTTGTCGGGCCGAGGAACTTATATCACCAACATATCTTAACATGACGAACACGCAGAGAAGCACTTATCCTGATGCTTAATAGCTGTATGGTAAAGGTTACAAGTTATTGCATCCCTATGTGGCTCGCATACCCGTATGCCATGATTGGATATCCTTGTTTGAAGGCTCCATCATGAAGAAACAACAGAGGAACGAAAATGCTGAGACCAAAAGAGCAGTAGTTTGCGTCGTCTTTGGTACTGACTATGATCCAGTAAGATGTCAAAAAAATCATTCAAAACGGGAGTGTGGTGTTGGAGCACAAACTACGTAGCATAGAGTACGCTTCGAAGAAAAGTAGCTAGGCAAATGTTACCGAACACTAAGTGCAAGTTTTATACGACCGCCACTCATATACCAGTTGACGCAGCTCGGGATAGACATGTCACGGTACATGAGGCACAATCGAATACATTAGTAGCCGGATTGCCGACCTATTTATCACCGTAACGCATAAATGTTGTTTAGAAATGTTTCCGAGTCGGTAGTCATCGAAAATAAACGGTCTTAAAGACAGTACGCAAAAAAACACTCAAAGATAATTAGCGGCCTGAGATTGCAAATCAAACTTTCTAAGGATAAGCTGAAGGGAGGTTGAGGAAAACGGAATACACTAAACAGACCGTCGGAAGTCGAAGAGGTTTACGAACAAAACGACTTGATTAACACATATCGTACATCGCCATGGGAATGGACCTCAGAGGGTGATGCGATGGTTTGCGGAGCTCAGTTACCCATTAAGCGACGCTGGGTGCTACTTTTTAAGTGCCTTCGGAGTCATTCATACCATAAAAGTCAACAGTTGGGAATCAGACGGACTCAGCATCTCCTTCGAAAGTTGCGAAGAGCTTGGTGACTCCTTCAATTAAAAAGTAACCACACGAGACGAGTTTCGGATGATACGCTGTAAACGATAGTGCAGTATTCCAGAGTCGGTCCTAGTATTATCTTGAATGAGTCAAGTCGTGCTTCAGGCAGAGAGAAAGTTTTGGTGATATATCCGCATAGCTGCCTTGCTTTTGCAACCTGAGAAAGCACATGTACAGAGAAAATGAAAGAGTTTGAGTACCTAAGTCTGGAACTGAATCAGACGTTGGGATCACGTTTCTGCCAAGCCTGATAGAGCCTTCTGGCATGCGGCATCTGTACCCAAGTACTTGGGATTTCACTTCGGAGAACTTCATTAACAGAAGTTCACTAGCTATATTTAGTGCGGATATGTCTTCATAGATGTTTCCCAAACATATATGCAGTTGGTCTGGATGAAATAAGTAAACCAGTTTGACGTCACCTGCAAACAGAAATGGGTGTCCATGTTTGATCGGGTCACATATATTGTTTACGTAGACTGGGAAAAGTAGGGGTCCGAGCACACTACCCTGGAAGACGCCGCTGGTTATTTGTGCGACACGCTGTCGAACGCGTTTTGCATGTTCAACAGGATTATTGAGTTCCATTATTCTGTCACACATAGTCGTGACATGACCGAAGAATTGTAGTTGGCAGATAACGCAGGAGCGTTTTGAGGGAAATCCATGGTGTAAGGGGTTGATTAGAGCCAGTCTTGTAAGAAATTGGAGGATATCCTTCCTGAATATTCTCTCTAGGGCTTTGGAAGTAACATAAGTTTGCCTTCCTGAACGGTAGCTTGACACTTCATTTCGCGGGCCACCCTTGTGCTTAGGCATTTTGAATGGATTCCTTCCATTGAGATGGGGAGCAGTCGGCAGTGAAAGTGTGAAGATGTTAAATAACAGTAGAGCGATGTTTTTTTCCTCCGAGTGTTATAACAGTTGGTGAGATGCCATCTGGGCCTGGACGGGTTGATGGTTTTATGGATACGATCGCACTGGTCAGTTATGTGCAAACCCGCCAATTTCCGCCCGTGGTTGGCGACGGCCGTAGGTGCGCAACATCAAACACAAACATGTGAATTGTCGTAAATATTTAAAAAATATGCGCGATATACCTAAAGCAGGTCGCAATAACAAGCTGCAATCAAAACTCTGAGCTGAACTTGCGCACCACTGCTTTTTGGGTCAGTCTAATGACCAAACGTTTTCTGTTGCACTTTCCGAGTGAGATTCCCAGTATCTACCGCGGTTTATTTTAACTGTTTAACTGATACACAATACCCCGGACTTCGCTACCCGTTTTTGTTGCTGTCTACTGCATGCGCTTTCGTAGTGCTCCTTTGGCGCTGAAACATAGTAGCTGCTGATCAGAATTATCGCTAAACTCGGGTTGCGTTGCACATAAAGACATCGGACAGATCGAAGGCTGGGGATTAGCCGAAAGGAACATCAGCTGTTTCGCTCTTTACTGACTGAGCTCTTCATCAATAGTTTGTGCTAGCCTTTACACTACAGAATCCCTCAAGCGAAACCCTATGCACCCCACTGCTTCGTAGATAAGCTGTTAAGGGTTAGATACACAGCAACATCTATTGGGATCAGTATCCAGGGAGTACCATCGGCGATTGCGACCCTGCCACTAACACTATATCTTCCTCTTCTCTTTCCCTTTGTAACTCTCTTCCTCCTTGGTTATGGAGGAAGAGACCGTCGTTGACCTCGTGAAGGGTGCCATCGTTGCATATAACTCTTGCTTCAAACCAAGAGTATCACTTCGCACTGATTCGTTTAACGTTAACATTATGGGTCAAATTGGACAACCAGTAGCACTAACTCCCATTCGCCTCATATAGAATTAATGTATGCACACGTATACAAAATAACAGTGTCGTAAGAGATCTTCGAGTCACTGGTTCCCAGTCTGTCAACAATGATCCGTGATAGTTAAGGCGTTGGTGCTACCCTTAGTAAAAGTGCCGAAGGCACTGATTCGACGCTCCTTCTTCTAGATTTACTACTCAATACAAACGACATAAATTACTGTGTTCACACCTACCAATTGGGATTTATCAGTGCTGTCCAGTGAATCTACCACTACAAGATCGTCTAGTACACACCCTCATTCGAGAATTCTCTTTGCGATATCGAACGATTCCTTTAATAGCTGCAACCCGCTTAGCAGCCATCATCTTAACACTCGCCAAACTATCGTGAATTCTACCACGCACGTCGATGTTCAAAGTTCCACCAAGCCGAAGTCCGACCCGACTGATAGGCAAGCGCCCACTGCTCGGTACAGAAAGGTCACAGATCGACCTCCGTTTGCATCGTTTGTAAAACATGGTCGATTGACAGCATGCGCTTGTCCCAACGCGCTCGATGCGCTGAACGCTGGCAACGAAAGGGCGATCGCAATTTACCTACATGACTGACGCCTCGGCATAGCTCGTAACACTGCAACAAGGCAGACAGGGTATGTAATGGTCCACGCAACCGCAGACAAAAGTTGTTGGAAACTGGGTGTTGCCCATCCGAAAACACTGCACACCAGGACGCATTTCGACCACATCAGGTGGAGATGGTAGACTTCGAATCCGGGATCAATGGAACACTAGCCGAAACCTCTACCCCCATTGCTATCGGATCTCTACGGGCATCGCTTGTCACAACGGTTCATTACTGATTGGTGGGTCATTTTGAACTACCAGTTGTGTGAGTGGATTGCAACGCGCAATCCGAATGTAGACAATCCGATCTCACATCCGAGTTCTGTGCGTGGGGCCGGCATGGGAAGAAGAGTGACCAATGCCTGATAAGAAAGCTGGGAACTATAGGTGATTAAACTGTTTTCAAAGTGTGCAGCTCAACGCTCAAAGCGTTCTGACGAACTGCGTATTGGCTCTCCACCCCCGTCGAATATAATCTCGCTAACATCAGGTTCGCTGCTGCCCGTTTCCCGTATCAGATGGAATAATTCCCGATGCTTACCAAGAGCAACGTCTATTCAATCGCCAATGCACGATGAAATTATCAGGCTTCGTGACCCTACTTCAGGATGGCACGCAGTTTCGTCTTGAGAATGTTCTGAGTCTCGTTGTGTAAGTCCCTAGCCGGAATGTGTCGGGGAGCACCGAGGATTTTCAGAGACTGCGAAGAGACTTGATACAAAGGCTGGCCACATGAAGACATACCTGATGCTAATAGCAGTTGGCGGATATGCAACCAGTTAACTACAAGTTCAGTGACTGCCTACTAAACCCGCATGCCAGTGTAGAGGATACGCATTTAACACCACCGGCCTCACCAGTTGGCGGGTGTCTGAGCTCTCACATCGTTGTCGACGAGCTCCGCCGAAGTGGACCCGTAGATCGGTACATACAAGATCGTGCACGAAATCGAGTAATTTTGTACGCAGCCACTGAAGCAGTGACTGGTCGCAATGTGCTCAATTGGTATCAATGAGTATTCAACTTTCAGGGGCACATAAAGCACATTCTCGACTGACTGGTCCGAAACTGTTTGGTGTCATGTCACCCTCCGACGGGTGCCGTGACAGAAATTAATGCTCGGAAGAAATAAATGAGCTACCATGCACAGGTGTGACAGTCGCTCACAATTATCATTGCGGAGGCCTTCATGTTAGCCGCCCAGACGCAGTTCATCATTGGAAAAAAGGTGGAAAAGGGCTGCGCGTGCTCTGAATGTTCAAACGCAGTTTTATCGTTCGGTCCGAAGAGATAGCCATGCGCCTCTTCTCCTACATCATAAGAACGATGCGCGAATACGCATCACCCATTTATTGTCCGATCACTCGTGGCCTGGTGCACAGAGTGGAACAGTTCAGCATGTAGTTAACAGACTTACCCACTTTCCGAGATGTCGTACGTAAACGGATGCAGACGACTAGAGCTATACACCCTATCGTATCGCCGGTTTCGAGTGGACCTCACAATGACGCACTGGATATTG